CTGGCATAAAGGGTTTGTGATAGAACCAGTTACATTTTTCTTCCTAATCCCCAAAGACTTAGATCCAGTTTGTTCAAGATCAGGAAGTACCTTGCTATCGTCAATATCACCAGGCACAGGGCTCGCTCTCACTGAGTTTCCCACTGTTCTAAGGGTGTTCAAGGACAAACTAGATGTGCGGGGTTTACAGGGATCCAGCGCCTCTGTGCAATAGAAACTTGAAGATTTTTATCTAATGCTCTTGCCCTGTTTATTATAGCTCTCTTTTAAACGACAGAAATGAGGACACAAATGGAGCTGAAGATCATAATAAAATAGCTTTCAGAACGTTAATAATGATTTAAAAATTGTTCACTAAGATCTCTATTTTTTTTTTAAGATTTTATTTATTTTTAGAGGGAAGGGAAGAAGAGAGAAAAGGAAACATCACTGTGTGGCTGCCTCTCATGCGCCCCCTACTGGGGACCCAGCCCACAACCCAAGCATGTGCCCTGACTGGGAATCAAACCAGAGGCCCTTTGGTTCACAGGCGTGCGCTCAATCCACTGAGCCACACCAGCCACGGCATGTCCACTAAGACCTTAAAGAACGGTGGAGCCTGTGGGGTCACCTCCCAGGAGAGGGCTCTGAGTGAGGAGAAGGCAGCCGCGAGTGAGCTGGGGAGCCCAGCGCGCGCTCACCCAGAGGGTGCGTGGATAGGGGGCATGGTCTGGGGCAGCACAGGCGTTGGCACAGGGAGTGTCCAAAGGCCACATCGGTGCCTCCTTACTCTTCCCGAGTCTTTTCAAACTGCACCCTTCTCTTGCATTTCCATTTCCACTGCCCTGAATTGAAGTTGCCCAGCAGGAGAAGTCGGCTGTTGCAATCACCTCCATTTCAGGGTTTGGAACCAGGGAAGGCAACAAAATGGTTGAAGGGATTTTCCGAATAGGAATCTCCTGTCTCCTGGGCTGCACACCAGACCTCCTGTCTCAGGATCTCCGATGGTGGGGGTCCCACCCAGGCAGTTTAAAAGGCTCCCCAGGTGATTCCAAAGGGCATCTCTGAGTAGAGGTCACTAAACCAAACAACCCGGTCTCTCAATTCGCCTCCACCACGCCAGAGCCTCCCCCGCTTAACCTCCCTAAAGCATCTATCTCTTTGATGATACCAAAATCGTCAACAATTCCCAATAATGTGCAGGACAGCTGGTCGTTGGCTCTCGCCCACGGATCCCCGCGTACAGTTCAGACTGAGCCCTCACTCTCCTGTAGCTCAGCCACACCGGCCCACGGGCTGGCTGGCTGGCATTTCCACCCCGGGGCTGGGACTCATGCCATCCCCTCCTCTGGCACGTACCCACCCACCCCCAAGCCATCACCCCCTACTCCCTAAGAGATACCCCCGTGCTCCGAGACTCACCTCAAATTCAGCCCCCAGAAAGCCTCCTGTGGCTGCTCACGACTCTGTCCATGGCCAGAAAGTGTATCTCTGTCCTCAGAATTCTAACAGCACTCTGCGTGTACCGAGGGGAGGTAAGTACATGACCCAATGGAGGGGGGAATGTCTAAAAGCAGAGACTCGAGTGACCCAGAGCAATTTCTTTAAAATTTAATGTTTTTTTAAAAATGCATGTGTGGGAGTTTTGAATTGTCCACCATCTCTTTATGGAGACCGCCGATCCCCCAAGAAGATGTGCCATGTTTATTGCTGCCCCAGCTCATACTGAGCACCCCAGTGATGCATCAGTTGAAGTGATACGGCCGAGCAACACAAAGAGACTCAATAAAGATGTTTGAAATAATGAAGAGATATATGAAAGAATGAGGTCAAATTTTCCTCTCCTCCATTGTTAAGAGTGGCATAGGCACAGGGCCATTTCCCAACTGCCAAGCCAAGAGACCCGGCCACCTTGGTATTCAGAGAAACAGGGGCCCTGCTTGGCAGGATCACCCTCCAGAGACGTCCTCTAGAACACCTGCTGGCTCCTGAGCATGTGATTTGGGGTCCCCTACCTGGACCTCAACAGGCTTCTCAAAATATGCCTTCCAAACACACACTCCCCCTGTCCAAGAGGAATCGGGTAGATGGAGCTCCTTCTACTGCCTGACTTGTTTATGTAAGAAGGAAATTCAGCAGTGATTCATCCACATATTTGCACTGCAGATATTTCAGTGTCCATCAGCACTATCGTAGAGTAAAAACTAGCTGGTTGTTATATCCAGGTGAAAAAAGTATTATGTTTTGTTCTTTTCTAATTTTATGTAACAGGCTGTTGCAACCAAACCCTACAAGAGAAAGCCTGGCCATGCCTGTCTCTACCTGTATTTAAAAGGCAAATACAAAAGTTTGCCTCTAAAACTTTATGTCAATACACCAAAACCCTCCAAGGCCTGGCCATCTAAGGCTGTCACTCTAAAGACCAATTAAAAGAAATAATAAGCCCAGGAATGGCTGGCACGGGCACCAAGAGAGGGAATAAAGGAAACCCCAGCCCCTTAGCATATTTTAAAGCAGAAAAGCCAGACGGTGTATTAGCTTCAGGAATGGAAATTCACAGATCACCCAGAATTCCTGAATTCTCCCATGTCCCCTCTGCCCGATTACTGAGGCCAGTCTTCCTTCCTATGTGGTGCTCACCCGCCCCGTCATCTGCACTGATAAACGTTTAATGCTCCTGCCGGCACAGCCAGCCTGGTTCCAGAGATGTCAAGGGGCGCCCAGGACAGGCAGCTGCCACCGCCTCCGCTCCAGGCTTCCCAGGGCCCTTCTTCCACTGTAGTTTGGATATGAACAGCCCGTCCCTTAAATTCTAGGTTTATGAGTGACTCAAATGTCATCCCTAAAGACACGTAGCAAAGCAAATGAGCTGACTATGACATAAACAGATCATCTTCCAAGACAAGAAAAATGATGCCTGTCACCTATAAAAAGCCAACCAGTCAATAACAAAATTATGGGCTCATAAAAAGGACAATTCATTTTTCCCCATGATGCAAACCAGAGCAGTGTTTTCAAAAGAGCAGTACAATTTACTTCTCTTACCTCTTCATGTGAGGGGGTAATCATCATGCTTTGGGCTTTGCATAGTCTCAAGAGCAATAAGTATTTTGTTATGGGTCTGATTATTATTTGCACCAGTTAATTAGTCAAAATATATACTCAGATTAACTAGCAGATAGCAGAGACCTGTGAAATTTGGACACAAAAGCAACAGGCTTTTGTATAAGGGGTAGAAGAAACTAAGAAAACTGGAGCAATCTTTCCAGTCTTTTCCCTGTGAAGATGCCTTTTTTATTTCAAGAAATTTTAGGGCCGGGGTTAAAGATGGCAGAATAAACACAACTGTCAGCCTCTGCTCCCTCAAAAAAACAAAAAACAAACCACAAAAATGGGAAAGAGTCTCGAGGGAAGACTGCCTGCCTGGGGTCAAAGATCAGGAGAAAGATGGCAGCACAACCGTGGGAGCTGGGAAGTGGGCGCATGAGCAACGACGAGTTAGAAGACCACGGGAGGCTGGAGACTGACCCCTGTCCAGGCACCTTTGAGAACAGAGATGAAGTGGGGGCTGAACATGAGGAGCACCTGAAAGTCTGCGTCAGGTGCAGTTAGACTCCACCTCCTTTCTCCCCGTAGTGCCACTGGGCGGAAGACCAAAGGCTCCCTCTGCAGAAGGGGTAGAGAAGCAGGACGCCAGGCACCGCTGAGGCTAGGGATGGCGTATTGAAGATAAGGGGGGGGACGGGCTGAAGGTTCACAGGCTGAGTTCCGAGGCACCTCCACACCCCCACCCCCTTATGCCTACTTCCGCCTCAGTTCCTAGGTGCCATGGGCCAGACTTTTACCCCTGAGGAGCCTGGAGGACTCTGCCCTGCCTAGAGCCCAGGCAGTATGTAAAATTTATGAAGAATTCCTACACATCTCTAAGAAAAAGACATAGATTCCCACAGAAAAACGTTGGCCAAAGACTTGAACTGGCCCATCACAAAAGAAGAAATATAAATCGCTTCATATGCTCAGCTTCATTTGCCATCAGGGAAAAACAAAATTAAGACCACAATGGAATACTATTTCACACCTACCAGACTGGTAAAAGTTGAAAGGTGCGACAAAGTGAAGTGCTGGCTGTGATGCAGAACACTCAGAACACTGACGTGCTGCCGGGGGCAGGGAGGGGGGCGTGTAATTGGCACAGGCACTTGGGAAGCCGTTTGGAATGACCTGGTTGGGGCGAGGCGCATACACCCCGTGACCCGGCAGCCCCACAGCTAGCACTATCCCCTAGAATTCCTGAAGTGGGGCACCGGGGACGCACGCAGGAGCCATTAGAGAAATGGAAGCAACCTGAATGTCCACCCGTATTAGAGCAAATAGACACACTGCAGTGTAGTTCTACAATCTAACCCAGTACAATAGAGAAAAGGGACCAATTACAGGGACACAGAGCAACATGGATGGACGTCACCGGCAAACGGAGTGAAAAATGCAAGTTGCAGAAAATACATACTGTGTGAGTCCATTTCTGTAAACTCCAGAAAATGCACAAAACTACCCAATAAATTGTTTTGAGATATAACGAAGAGAAAAAAAAAATTTGAAAAGAAAGCAAATGATAAACAAAATTTTGGAGAATGGCTGTATCTGAGGAAGGCAGAGGATGGGCTATCAAAGGTAAAGCTGAACGCAGGTGTTCACTATTATAATTCTGTACACGTCATTTTACGAATATCCTTTTGCAGCTATTCAATATTTAATCAAAACAATGAAAGGAGATGACGCGTGAGTAAACAATGCAGCACAGTGCAGAGAACATGCTAGGTGTCCGTTCTCCTAATTCTTGTTTCACTATAAATATTTTAGAACACGTTTGAGCGAAACTAAACAGTGGCTTTCTCGCAACACACTTGTTGGTAGACTGAGGAATGCCGCAGGCCCAGGTCCCAAGGCTGCTCAAAGTCAAGAACTAACACGCCTCCCCCGCTTCCGGTTCCAAACCTTCCGCCACCCCACCCCTCATCCCCTGTGCCGACTTTATTAAAAATAAACATATAACGGGTTTTGCCCTTCTGCCCACACTGATTCCATTTTTTTAACTAGGAAATGTCTTTGGTGAAACCACTGTGAGTTACGCCACAGCCCGATGGTGGGAGAGCAGAAAGTGAGGCCCAGCGGCCGCCCGCGGCGGCGCACAACGCACTCGTCCAGCCTCGGTGCCCTGCATTGCTGTCCAGTCTCTCAGGCAGGAAAGGCGTGAAGATGAGGGCTTGCTCCATGCCTGCCTTGGATTATCTTCTGGCCCAAAGGTTATAAATCTCTAAATGAACTTGAAAACATCTGTCGCACAAAAGGGCCCCAAACCACAGAGAGCTGCAGGGGATGTTGACATTTCAGCAATGAAGGCCCTGAGGTGGGTGTCCTCTCTGCAGCTCTGCTTTGTCTTTCCACAGCCATCATGCAGTCTGGGGGGAAACAAACACACATGCAGGGTTTTATTATTTCATCCAAACAGCCTCAGAGAAGTGGCAAGCAGGTAGGCTATAGAGAGGAACAATGGAAATTTCTGAGTTAATTAAAATGAAGAGGAGAAAAACCAGGCCAGGCAAGGGCTATGTTTTCACTCGTGGCTGGAGAGGGAGGGGCAAATGACGGACAGGAGAAGAAGAAGGGAGCTGGCCAGACCTCAGCACCGTCCAGACAGCAGTGACCACCGAGAGGGTTCGTTTCTTCGCTCCATGCTTGAGCACCTACTGTATGCCAGGCTCTGGGCTGGGGAAAATCAACACAGTCCCTGCCTCGTGGAGAATACCACTTAGTAAGGGAAAGAAAGAAGCAAACGGGGGTGATAAGTGGTGTGATCAAATAAGCAGGGGCTGCCACACAGCCCCAGGCCTCAGGGCTCAGAAAAGCCTTTCAAGGGGGAGCAGCTACCTCTCCGACTCCAAAGAGGAGGCAGAGTTAGCCTGACACAGTGGGGTGTTGGGAGAAGGGGGCAGGAAGCCCCAGGTTGGAGAGCAGCAGGAACGGAGGCTCAGGGAGCAAGCGCAGCGTTCAGGGGAAGGCGGCTGGATGGGAAGGCCTAGAGCAAAGAATGCAAGCAGGCAGCGCAGGGTCACGCTCCCGTGCATTAAGCCCACTCATCAAACCCAGGAAGTGCTCGGCTTCAGCTCTAAGAGCAGAGCCTCATGATTCATACACCATGCCTATATTTTCCACCTTGCTTGCAGATATGAGGCAGGCGAGGAGGTATGGCTGTGACATGGCAGTGACTCACAGTGCACAGTTGGACAATAGAAACTGAAACCACAATTACAAGACTTGCTTAAAAGGCCTGCAGGAAAAAAACATGGGCACTGGCTTCTGTGCACTGACATACACACAATCGGGTCTACTGCTCCTAAAACACTCCCCTTAGACGTGAAGAGGAACCTCCAAGCATTGCAGAGTCGTTTGGGGGAATGGTTACCAGCGTTATAGCCTGCCCTGTTGTAATTGAGAAAACCTCTGATGAGTTAGACCAACTGGACTTTTCAGTTCCAAATCTGCTGGCACGCAGCCATAGGGGCATTTGTAACGTCAGACTTAAGAGGACCCGGAAGGGTGCACGATGTGTGCCCACCACTGGTCTAGCCCTAAATCACCCACCCTCCCCACCCGGCACCGCAGCTGCTGCAGGCTCTCTGAGCCAGAGACCTGTCAGGAGCCAACTGAGCCATATCCATCCAGGTAGTGTCCTGTGTTTTTTTTCCAGCTATAATTATTCCTCCTGTAGGCAGAGGCATCCTGGTGTGCTTCCCACCGAGGTGCATGGACCAGGCAGCAGGTGGAGTGCAGTGAGGCGTGCAGTGGTGGCTCTGCAGCTGGTGCTTAGAAGGACGGGCCTGAGGCACATGCATCCGCCCCCACCCCATTAACTCCAGACTTCCCAGAGCAAACCAACTCGTAAAATCTCCTTTTGATTCTATTCAGCAGCTCTGGTCACATGGGTCCATTTCGTCACTTCCTACCCTCTTCCAAAGAGCCCTTGATGTTCATTTTGGCCTGATCTCACAAGGAGGATAAAACAACGGGGTTGTCAAGGATGGGTTGAGAGTGGGAAGCAGAGGAAGTTTATACTATGATGTGTTCTGAGGTCTCTACGAGCCCTAGTTACAGCCTTCTGTCCGGGGCCAGTCCTGATCGAAATAATAATGGGTTATTTTCCTAAAGATAATTAATGTTATGGTTAAAGCTAAATCGTTCTCTTTTGTTGTCACCTTAGAATACCAGAGATGTGTTCCAAACTAATAATGACTTTGGGCCACCAGTGCCTTGCATGTAGCAGGCATTTATAAACCTTTTGGATGCTAGGTTATGGACAATGATTACCAGAGTCTGTGTGTATAGAAAAAGAAGTATCAAGCTAGAAAAGATGTAGAAGCACAGGCAACGTACTGCCCCATATACAGCACCCCACACGCTGGGACTTCTCAAGGGAGCCTGCTCTCTGAAATCAGACGTAAACAGGACTCACATCCCCCCAGCCCATTCCATGTGGGAACATACTTCTCTCTGGGATCCCACCTGGCAATCCCTCTGGGAAAAACCTATTCATCCTATAGGTTTTGTTTGAGATTCCATCCTTTCTGTGGGAAGACGTCATCCAGAAGTAGAGACTCAGGGAGACCAGATGGCTGGTAAGCAAGAGGCTATTCTCAATTCAAGGCCAACAGGAAAGCTGAAAGCCAGAGCCCAAATTTAGTTTGAAACCTGGTACCCAAGAGTATAAAGTTAGAAACTCCCTTGAACCATCTGGCTCTTTTAAATAAATACCTGTCCAATCCTAGAATGGAAAGAAACCTTAAGATCTATTTCCCTTTCCAGACACAACATCTATGCCGTCAGTAGTGCCTAGCAGCCACGGGATGCCTCACATGGGCTAGCTGGCTGAGCCCAGGTTAATGGCTGCATACTCTACGGATGTTAAAGTTCTTTGGAATATTTCTGATTCCACGTCTCTTTCGCTCTTCTTTTCCCTCCACCAAATTCTCTTTTAATTACCCTACCTGTGGCTAGAACGAACATATGAACACACACACACACACACACACACACACACACACACACAGAGTATGTATCCCTATCTAAAATGGTTCAGTGTATCATTGTCCTTCTGCCAACGCGCCCGTCATGGTCTACCCTTCTTGCTGACAAACATCTCTTCACTTTTTATCATCTCTCTCCTTTGACAGTGACACAATTTAACTATAACCCCTAAAAATCAACATTTCACCCGCTCTGTGAAGTCGCCATCCCTAAGTATTATGAAATATGCTGTCACCCAGACAGATCAACACATCACTCACCCCCCCCCCATTTCCAACCATCACGTGGCCCCCACACACAGGCTTCCCATGTGCTAACCGTACCTGGAGCTTTTCCCTTGACTAGAGATGGCCTGACCTGACCAATTTCTTCAGTTGAATCTTCTGCCCTTGGGAACAGAAGTGAAGGTGATAGTCTGGAGTGGGGTAGTGGTGGCAGTTAAACCCACAGGAAAGGAGGGAGACACAGGACCCCCCTTAATTTTTTCCCTTTTCTCTCCTATCCAAAAGCCTGCTAAAGATTAAATGGGATGATGTGCAAATACCTTCGGTAAACTTAACGCTCAATACAATGTAACTCAACAGAGCTCTGAATTTGTCACAAATGAAGTATTTCATTAGCACAGAACCAGTGTTAGCCACAGTTCCCTCAGATGAGCCCCACCTCCGTGCCACAAGGTTTGGACTCAATCCTAGAGCCACCTTCAGCCCCACCCCCCCAGCCCTCCACATTGCCAGGCACATTCTTCCTTCAGAAAGTCCTTCAGTCTGTTCTCCTTTTGCCCTGTGTCACCTTGACACTGAAGTATGACTCTCTTACTCTAGGATCTACCCACTCGATGCCAGTTCAGTTTGGGTCCTCCAAAAAGCAGGTGCCAAGACAGGATTTGACATGCCAGATGTTGACTGAGGGGCGGGGAATGCCTGTGAAGGCTAAAGAGGGAGGCGGCCGGGGAAGTCTGGGCAGGGAGAGCCTTGGACCACAAAGCAGGTCGGACACCTGTGGGAGGTGGAAGGAAGGCTGGGCAGGAGGAGCCTCAGACCACAGTGCACTGCTGAGAAAGCCCCAGCTGACAGGTGGGAGATGCCCAAGCAAACGTCTGCCCTGCGTGAGTCCCACATGGGGCAGCAGTGGTCCGGCTCTAGAACTCACGCCATGCTCTGTCACTGACTGGGGACAGCCCAGGGGAGGCGTGGCTGCACATGAATATCAGAGTAATGGTGTACACATGAGGAAGAAACTAAAACTTGACTTCCTCTCACACCAAAATCGGTTCCAGGTGGGCTGTAGAACTAAACATGAAAGACAAAATATATGAAAGACCAAAAAGTATAAAAGACAAAAACTTAAAACAAACAAAAAGCAGCTTTTAGGAAATCATACAGGAGAATGCATTTATGATCAAGCAAGAAAATCTGCAAAACTTAAAGGAAAAGAGGGATTTGTTGGAATAATTATAATGAAGAACTTCCATTTATCAAAATAAAAAACTTTGTTTTGACAAGTAGAAGAGAATAAAAATACAAACCAGAGTGAGAGAACATAGCTTTAACACATATAACCAGTAAGGGGGCTCATAACCAGACTATATGAAAAACTACTAAAAGTCAATTAAAAATAAAACAACAGAGAACCCAGTAGGAAAAAAAGCTTGAACAGGAGTTCCACAAAAGAGGACATCCAAATGGCCAATCAGCTTATGAAAAGGTGCTCAATGTCATTATATCACGGGAGAAAACCCATTAGAGCCACAATGAAATAGCACTAAACACCCGAATGGGTAAAATTAAACAGTTAGATAACACCAAGCCCTGGAAAGAATGTGGAGCAACAGGAGTCCCGTGTGTTACTGAAGGATGTGCAAACGGTTCAATCATTTGGAAAACTGTTTCCAGTATCAACTACCATGCTCACCCAGTGACTCAGCAATTCTACTCCTATGTATGGAAGCACCTGGAAGGGGCATTACATAATACATAATACACACAGCAAAAGACATGCACGGGAATGTTCACAGCAGCATTATTAGTATGAAGCAAATGCCCACCAAGAGTCAAGTGGGTGAATCAATCGTGGTATATTCATCCCACGGCATTGCCGTAGTGAAAGTTAATGCACCAAAACTACAACCTGACAATATGGATGAATTTCACAAATACAATGCTGAGTGGAATATACTCTAGGATTATATATGTAGTTCAAAACCAGGGGAAATTAAAATTCAGTGTTGAGAGATCCATATTTAAGCAATTAAGAAAAAAAAAAAAGCAAAGATGTGTTAACCATGGAAGCCAGAACAGCGGCTACCTTTAGGGAGCGGGAGGGTATATAATTAGGGAGGTGGGAGCAGGGGCGTAGCAATGCCAGCAACGGTCTA